GCATAACTTTACACATATGGCTTATATTAAGATCAAATTTGACACATCATTGTAGGATGTAAAGTGTACCAAAGTTGAAAAAAAAATCCATGAAAGTATGTTTTTCTATCAAATAAAGTTTCCATACTTTCGGTGCAGACAAACAAAAAGGAAGAAATTCAATCAAAATTGGATATTTTATATCTTATGTATTTCTTAATGGATTGCTTTGCAATTTGGTATGTGATATGATGGTCCAGTAGAGCACATCCACTGAAAACATGTGATACTTTGGATTACCACAGTCCAAGCTACAGTAAGAGGAAAATTGCTAAACTATCACTTCTGTTAATAACACACAGTGTGTCCTGCAGGTTGTTTTGGCCACATGACACACTACCATGTGTCTTGATAAAATGAAGAAACCATAGCACTATCAACAAGTAGACTGGCACAACAACAACACACAAACTTCACTTTAGATTTAAAGTTAATTAATGGTAGGTTTGCAACTACAGTAACAAAGTTGAATACCTTGCTATCTGCACTTTAATTTTATTTTCTCATATAATTCTCATACAAAATGTCTTACTAGCATGGTCTTCGTGTGTAAAAAGGGGCATGCTAGCAGCTTTGGAGGCTGCATTGTTTTTCACTGCTCCACTGGAAGGTGCAAGTAGAGAAGGCATGGAAGGACTGGGTTGGCTTGTTGGACTCCTTTGGTATGGGGAAGTTCTCTGATTGGGAGAATAGTGACTGGATGCTGACCAATTTAACTTCTGAGAAGGGGAATGTGGAGTTTTCTGGGTTGGAGAGTGCTTTTGAGAAGGTGAAGAAGATTGTTTCTTGTTATCAATAGGTGTGATAGGCCTTGGCTGTATTCGACTGCTTCCTTCAGCCCTAAAACACAAATTCTCAAATTTATGGAAATATCTATTACTATAATTCCTAACAGTCCAAATATTAAATATACACTCTTCCTTTAACTTTTTCACTGCTACATGTATGTGTCATGGGTATATTCACACAGGACATACTATATAACCTTTGATTTAGGATTACAAACTTTGATATTAATTGCATGCAAGTTTGGAATTTTGTACCACCATGAAAAACAGGGTATTCCCATTATAACTTCTCAAAATAACAGATTCAAGTTTCAGATAAGCAATGAAATAATCAACTGTGTTTTTTAGTTTTTTTATTAAGTATCTAAATATAAATGTGACATTGGAAGAATTGGCAGTGAAAGTTAAACTTGTGATTTAACACTAAATTAAACTGTTATCCCATTTAAAATACTACATATCAATTTTTTATTGTACATTTCTACAATGAAAACATTATTTCTTTTGAAATACTACTAACTTATGTTATACATTATATTTTTAATGAGTACAAAAGCTTCCAAATTAAACAATTTTTATTCTTTTTTATACTAATGAAACACAAATATTACATATAAAGGAATCACAACAAGCAATGGCATTATATGATAAATTTGTTAATAATGGTACAAAAAATTATCACAGAAAATATAAAAGAAAAGCAAATAAACTGTACAATGAACTGGTATTTTGTGTGCGAGTCCTTTACATAATTCCCTAGCAATCTCTGTAACTGTGACTAAAATTGTTATAAATAACAATAATAAAAATTTTAGTAGTTATCATAATTCTATTGTATTAGCATAACTCAAAAGAATTTTTAATGTACAACTGATGACTTCATACCCAGAGCTAAAAGAACACCAAAAATATATCTATATAAAGTTAAAAATAAAAAGATTTTATAAGCAATGTTTCTTGCACTAATTCACTACAAGAATATACGATTAGCAGAGAAATCTGTACACAAATGAGGTATGTTACTGTGTAACTGAGATAATGAAAACAATTTTATGATTTTCTAATTATGCTTAAACCTATGACAAAATCATTAACTGTTCTGATTCTATGAAGATGTTTATTGTTTTTACAGTGTTTAATTAGAAGTGACTTGACTGTTTTAACACACACAAAAATTCTATAACAAAATTTCCCATATATTTCAAGTTATATGAATTTTCTTGACTTTTAACTATCTCTACATGTACACATATAATGATGGATAATGACAATGAGAAATTTTTATGTAGAATTCAACAACCTATTTTTTTCACCACCAGCCTCGTAGCTACGAAGTAAGAACATCTGAGTAACTTCTGAAATAATGTATTTTTTCTTACCTAGTTTTCTTCAGCTGTATGTTACAACTAAGCTTTTCCAAGGTAACTTCACCAGTGGAATGGTTAATAATTAGAACACACTCCTTTGTATAAGGTTTCTTAGATCCTTTGAACACTGTTTTGGAAGTACCTGATCCCTAAAAATCAAAAGCAAAACACTTACATTAGTAAATACATATATACAGCCTACAAATGAGTATATAGACAGCCCTGAGAATACAAACTGACCATTTCCATGGCATCTATGCAAATAACCCCAATGTATAAATACAGGTATAGCTTTGTAAAGACTACATTGCCAATATATTAAGCGACAAGAAATCAACTGAATTTGCACAAGGTTTCATAGTTAGTCAATAACATGATGGTCACAGCCAACAAGAAATCACCAGGTTACTTGCAGTACTGCTGTCCATGGTGAATAGAGTAAAATACAGTACCAGTCATGTCAGAATACAACAGTTTCGGTATGACCAAAATCAGAGTTTGATACTGAAGTACATATTACTTTCTAAGTTTAAACTAATAAAAAAAAAAAAAAAGCCTGGGATCCTGATGAGATCAAAAAGTATTCATTGTGTCATTGTAGTTTCATGTAGCTACTTGTTATCTACGTAGCAAAAAAGATGCCTATTGTTTATATTATTCTTGCTTTATGCTTTTAGGATTGTAAATCTGAAATACCTAAGTTGTAGACCAGCCTGTACAAAGATAATGAGTACAAGGAGCTTAGAAAAATGATATGCATAGTTCTGAAAGTTACACTTGACAATATAGAACCACAGCATGGTATCAGTGTAATGAACTATACCAAAACAAACCTCAGGAATTGCTTCAAAGTTCAGAACCTAAACGCATGCATAAAGACTGCTAAAGAATTAGAAAATTGACTGACATATCACTATTGCCTCTGCATTTCGTCAGATTTATAAATATGTTCTATTGACTATAATTATAACTACACAAGTAAAATTGTATTATGTACATAAATGTAATATATACACGAGTACAATTCACTCTGGCAAATAAAGAATATTGACTTGAAATATTAAGAAACATATGGTGGAAACTGCAGTGCTTAGCTTGAAATGTACTGAGATAAAACACAGCATTGTTTGGGATGTTTGTAAATTACATGTGTCAGCTTTGATAATCACAATATGATCACTTGTTCATTCAAAATAAAACATAGATACCTATTGCTTTTGAGCAGTTTAGATGCAGAAATACAAGCAGTAGGAAAATATCAAATTATTTCTGGACTTTACAGTTATTGCCAATTGTTTTTTTGTTTCTGTTTTTTTAACAAGACAGTCATAATTCACAAATTGTATGTTAAAAACATTTAATTATAGTATTATAATATATTTATGAAGAAAGATTTAATTTATTTATTTAGATTATGCTTAACTTGTATCAGAAAGCAGGTTGGGGTTGTGAACAGAAAGGTTACCTAACTCCAGTTACCAGTGTAAGATGTCTTCTTACAGTTTCATGTCCCCCCCCCCCCCCCATCCTATTGGATCCAGACTCTTAGTGACAACTAGACAATGATGGAAGAACTCGCATGTATGTGAGATGAATGAGCTCATTTACTGGTGACTGCTGCCTGGGGTCTGGCTAAGGCTGTGTGTGTGTGTGCTCATGAGAGAACTATGGCAATCACACAACAGACTGAAAAACTTCAGCCTAACACACATTACCAGTGAAAAACAACCTCATGGAGGATGTGTCATTCAAGTGTCTGCCTTATCAGCTGATGATAATGTAATGTATCTACCACAGTTAACATGTATGATGGCAAGTCAGGTTCTCACCCTGAGAGAAGGATCTGAAAGTAAGCCTGCCACATCATCTATGTCAGTGGTCCAGGCATAAGAAAACAGCCCACATCCACTGCAAGATAAGATTTTAGTAAATATGTGTATGGTCTTCAATTTGTCGTAAAATATATTTCTATTTTAGTTTGTATTGTAACTGATTATTCTGTGTTTGAGATTATTTGTATTTTCTTTTGCTTTGTATATAAATTTGGTTATTATGTCTTTCATTTTAACAAGTTGTAATGTAGCGAAATTTTGTATTAATTTTTGTTTAACAAAGTTTTTAGTGTGCATTAACTGTATTTTGATGATTTAACTTTGATAATGTAATATGGTTCTGAATTACTGACTCTAATGAGTTTTTCTATGATTTACTTATTTTGAGTTCTCATTTTCTGGTTGCTGGAATTTTATGTATTAACCTTTATAGTAATTATGTAGGTATCATGATGTTTTATGTGTCACCTGAGGATATCAATTATAACATCTTGCAATTTGTACATAATTTTCTAATTTAATTTAATTTTTATTTTATTGTTTGGGTCTAGAAAGATCCTGAGATAAAGAATGAGAGGGGGTGTCATAGCTGGAACAGCTATTGATTTCAACTCTCCATAAGTAGTACAGAATATATCTTTTATTCAAATATATTCAGTTTTTTTCTTTAATTTCCATGCAGTTAATACTGCAGCCTTTGTTCTAAAGTCTCAAGCTAGCACATAAGGTAGTATACAAACATACAATACAGAAACCTCTACAACTTGCTTGTTATAACTTAAAATATGTTAACCATTCATTGGTTGAAGTATGTCACCCATAAACTTGTGAAATACCCTACTAAGGCTTCTGCCTTAATTCATAAGTGGAGAATTTTGGCTCTTGTTTCTATTTTACTTCATCATTCTCTTGCCCTCAAAGCCAGCAGCCAGTCACACAAAATCAAAATACAATCAATAACATGATAGCATTAGAAACATTTGTCTCAATAAATATTTCTTATTTGTTCACTTGTGTTTGTTCAATTTATTCTTCACTTAACAGTCTTGAATTTGCATTTTTGCAAAAAACATAGTTTTTCTTACTTATGTAAGTGAACCTGAATACCACAAAAGATCAAGTTTTGATCAAATATGAAAAAAACATGTACAAAAAAAATAATCACAGTGAATATATTAAAGCACATTCAATACCAACTGATGAATAAAATAAAAATTAGATATAGTCCAAAAACAAGAAATAACAATATCTTTCTTACAAATTACATTTTTCCCCAGGTGTCCTGGTATACTTCTGTCAATTCAGGTTACAAGGTTTAATTGATGTGATACAGGATTATACAATGTTTTTTGCTACCTCCTTACACAATATTTATAAATTTATGTTTTCTTTTTGTTCTGATTGGATGTATAAAGCCAATAAGTAAACAATACAACTTCTCCTTACTTTAGCTGCACACAGGGCTAGATCCACTAATTGGTCATTAAGCATGTTCTTTTGCAGAAAAGATAGTTATAACTTCACTCATGATGTCCCAAAATAAACAGCTGTCTTTTCTGCCAGCAAATTATTCGAGCAGGTACAAGATACATGGCATGAGCAGGCTGGTTTTGTTGTATTATTGCATTTAAAGTCAGGGTCTCCTTTGTTAGGTAGATTTAGATACGACTTTTGTGAAGATTATTTTGACTAAGATTTTATGCAAATTTCTGTAAGCTTTTGTTTCAGTAACTTGTTTTAGTTTGAAAGGTTTAAACTTGTTTTCATGTTTAAGGGTTATTTTCATTTAGGTTTTAACTTTTTATTTTAGCTTATGGAGGTAGGGTCACACTAAACTGGTGAGAGAGAGAGAGACTAGTAAATGTGTCTTTTCACATTTCTATCTCCTGCCAGCTCAATAAACCCACTGCAAACAGTTGCCCTTGTTGTGTATTGTGTTTGTCTCCATTTCCTTTTGTTTGGAAAGTAGCAAACCCATATTCTGCAACATAATATTTGTTGGATCTCCTGGTAAGCAGATCTTACATATTGCTCTGCAGGAAATCTGTACAAGAAAAGATACCACACTGATAATTAGTGTTACTCTTTTAGTATCATGACCTGTAAGTACCTGCTGTACTTGTATTAGATACTTTTTGTCTATTAAATATGTAAAATAATGCAACAAAAGCTTTTGCATCAGTTGTATGTTTTTATAGTTAGGCAAGGTTAATATTGGTTAAATATAACATTGACATGCTTTAGATTTTTTTCTTTTAATATAGTTTTTACAAGTTATGATTATACAAAGAATTAGCAAAATATCAGTACTTTTAATTATTCAACTGTAAAAACACGAGGACAGGCATTAATCATAGAGCTTAATACTTCACTACTTACTTCAATATGAGGAACTGAAACTGTAACCTGGTGGCCTTCACCAACATCTACTGTGGCACCCTTAGTGGGGTCTACAGATGCTGGTTTAAAATCATCTACAGAAAAAACATATATAAAAATTAGGCTATAATATTTTAGTACAACAAATTTTAAATTTATTGTACTAAAATGTTAAAGATATTTGAGTAGAAAAATAAAATGATTTTTAGTCACTACCTAATGACCCCAACATGGTTTTCAAGAATACCATCAATTTCTTTTTTTCCTGTATTACATCATAGAGCAACACTCTGCAGAGTAAATTTCAGTCTGGAAATCAGTATCAAGCAGTAGTCTTACACACACATCATATCATGATAAGCCAATTAGCTTTTTCCTATAGGTGGTAATTCCAAGTGCTAGTTATTAAAATCTTGCCTTGAGTTGACACTCAAGAAATGTGGTAAAAAAGAACAGTAAAAATTTACTAAAATTCATTTCAATAATTAAATCATTAATGCTACTAAACATGTAGATAAACTGCAACACAAACAGTGGCAGCAGAGAACCTGGGTGAAAGTATTAAGTACCAACATTTATAAGAAGGAAAAATAACTACCAAATGTTAAACTGCTTGCATTATCATACATGTAACTGGTAATATTTATGTGAGGATTTCTACAATAATAATAATTAATAATGTACAGGCTAAGCAAGTTAGTTTACGTACACATGCTTTCAGTATTCATATTCTGTGTACAAAAAAAGGTTATCAATAACCCAAGTTTTGTGCACATGACTATAAGAGTACTTTTTAGTAAACATACTTTTTAGTACATACCTCAAAATATTCCAAACATAGCATGCAAAAGTAATCTCTATTTTATGTTAAATGTAATATGTTTTATTTTTTAACATTATTAGTACACTGTAAAAAAAGCAACTTTAGAAACAAAACAACAGAATGATTTTAAGGTGAGACTCATGCTCAGTTTAAGGAGTGTACTAACTGTTCCAGTTTTTTGGCAGCACAGTTCAGCATACCATGCATATCACAACCATAAGGAAACATACAATTTATTAATTTATATTATCATCATAAAAGTCAAATTTTAAGCCATAACAGTTATTTTTTTTTACACATTTATGTATTCTAATTAAAATTTCCCCAAAAACTGTTGTGTTAAATGTAAACTTGACTTAATTTGATCTATTATTCCTACATTTTTGTTATACTTCATTTTCTACATGTATAACACAAGGATGCTTTATTATTAACTGGACACAACATATAACATTTAAGTCAGTATCAGCAAGAAGGTCAATAACCATGGCCTAAAACAATTTTACTTTTTTTAAGTTCTGTATAATACTGACAAAACAGTTACAAATGTGTGCCTATCCCAAGTCAACTGCACCAGTGTAAAAGTGTAACGACCTCACTAACTTAGATATTATGCTGCTTGCACTACTGGCGTTAGAACAGCATCATTAGTGAGAGCTGATCTCACGTGCAGGCACGTGGAACGACAGGTTTCATGGCCTAATTTACTATTCCGGTCACACTCAACTTCACAAAAGCAAAATAGAACAAAAGGAAGTGAGAATTGTCTCTCTTACTTGGGCAATTTAGATTTCACACGATCTGTAAAAAAGTATTGATAATATAAGCCAATATATATTTTTCATTCACAAACGATTATATTAAAATACGGCCGTTTACGTTTTGTCAACCATCTTAAAAAGTAATTTACGAAAGTTCTCAAAATGAAATAGCAATAATATGCAAGTACTAACTGATATTTCTACAATCAAAAAGTATAGTTAAATTGTTGCAAAAATACTGTTTTACATATTAGTATTAACTCTGGTCATACGACTATCTAGAGGTCATGGTAATTTATTATACAAAAACATTTGGGATGTTATATAACAAAACGTACCCGATCATGTGCAATGACGGTAAAAATCAATGTTTTTGCTTAACTCTTAAATTAGCGGCTTGTTTTTACAACGTTCACTACCGGTGAGGTATACATATCGCACTATTTGTTTCAGAATTTTCCCACAGACTTGCACAAAAAGCTACAGCATGTAGCCCTACCTAACGTTGAATTGATAGCCTAGACTACAGGGAAGGCAGCTATATAGTCAGCAGTACCTACTACTCTTGGGTTACTCTTGTATGACTTAATAATGGGATCCGACTGTCACTCTTATAGTCATAGTATACCCACAGCCTCAAAATGCGGAGCGCGTTTTTGCGGCAACGGGCCACGAAACATGAACTCTTGGATTCGTAATCAAAGCACGCTAACCACTAGGCCACGCAGGAAGCCAATATTGCACCATGGTGTGTAATAAGTATTTGAATCTTACGATACTCATTTTAAAAAATTGGGGAAAATCATTTATTTTCCATGTAAAATGCACATAGAAACTAGCAGTATCTAGTGAGATTATTTGCAATATTGTTAGTACTTTTATTTACTTTTTTGTGCGACTTGTATGCTATTCTGGGCCCTGAACCAACTAGATTATAGACTTATACTGTACATAACCAGTTTAACAAAATGTAGTTCATTGTTTTTCAAATTTTATCAAAAACCTTCACAATGGTGTTCGTCGCAGATATCAAACTCCAAATGTTAGGATTATAACCCCTGAAGCTCAGACTAAGCCACCGGGACACACGGTTATTCCAAGCTTAAAGCTAATGCAATACTTTTCAATTACTTATTTTGATTTATTATCTAAATGTTATTATTTACGAAGTTTTTATAGTTTCATGTATGCTAACTAGAATAGCTCAGATAACAGAACTGAAATCATAAGAAATATTTTGTAATGAAAACATGACCAGAATTACAAGATAATCCGTGTGAAGGTTTTATTTAGTTCTTTAACATTCGGTATGTTCATCGATTAGTAAATATAACAATAAATCGACAACACTAAAATAAAACACTTGTTACTCTCTCACCGACTATTGCCTTGCTAAAAACATTCCGCATCAAACTATTTACCGTTATTAACCGTAGCGGTCGTGTCTCAACACGTCATTCTATGCTACACAACAAACATAAATATGTTATATTTCAAAGAACACATTACTACATACACATTATCATCATACTAACTTTTATTCAATAAGAAATAAATGTGCCTCGAGAAGTATGAGAAGACATTAAACTTCTGGTAATATATAATGACCGAATTGGTTTAATATTATTGCCTCGTGTTTACAAAGGCAAATATGAAGAAAATAATTAAACAAATGTTTATATCTACAACGGCCTTTATAAAGTTCATCATTCGATTATTTTTTTATCAAATCACAATTTTCTACGACTTCTGCGTAATGTAAAAAATATATACCTGTTATAAATAACAAAGTTCTGTAGAATTTTTGCGCTTTTTACATAAAGTTTAAAGTGGACTAGATAACATTCACTTTTACATTTTCAAATACATTAGTCTGAACAACTTACAAAGCTTACTGCTAGTATACCTTTCATATTTGACCTACATAACACTTTAGTACATTTTTTCGTGCAAATAGTCAAAATATTTGTGTCAAATAAACAAAACACGTAATATAATCAAACTTGTACATTGGGAATGTTACAAAGCTAAAAGTATCCGACAGAAAAGTTTAATACGTTATAACGATAAAAGACTTGATTTTTATTAATCAGATAGATCACTTTGGTGGAAGCTCTGGCTAAATTTCCAATAAACACTGTGTGTGTGTATTTATATGTTACTTCTGAAACTTATAAATTTCTCAACAACTATTTTCTTATTCGCAAAAGAATTTCAACATTTTTAAAGTTTTCTGCTATTTTATTTCATTATATTTTAAGATATATTTAATGGGGAAAATCTAAATTAATAACTATCAGTTTAACTTATTTCTCAATTTAAGACATTCACAATTAAAGCTTTAGTTGAAGTTTGATGAAAACAAAAACGTAAAACAAAAGAAGGCCAAACAAGCTGAAGCTATTAAGTAAGAATATACTTGGGGATGGGCGAAAAAACAACAACTGAATAACGAAGCTAACAACGAATTTGAACAATAGCCAATTTGGTGATTGGAAATACACAGTTAAAAACAGGGTGTCACCAACAGTCATGCTCTATCAAACACAACAATAATCTGCATGTTTGTGGTCTGTGAATATACAACGCGTTTCTACTTTCTTGTAATGTATTTATTCTGTATATTTGCAGGTTTAACATATCACGTAGTAAAAAAAAAAGCCGCTGCGGCCTCATTTTTGTTGAAATGAGTAAAACCAGTGGTGTGTATAACGCTGTTAGGTGCGAGTAAATGTGACGTTTCTTACGTACTTGAGAAGCGCTGGATTTATTAGTCAGTCTGAAACATGATCTTGAAGGAGAAGCAGCTTTAAGGAGAGAAACCAATAATAGCAACAGTCCGTCTTCCAGAAAAGTAAGCACACAGAATATGATTGCATTTTACGTCTTTAGTAATAAAGATTGCGAATTTCGTACTTCACTTTGTGTCCAGTCTCGTTATTCAACATTATAACTCAGTTATTCAGAAGTTTAGTACTGCTTCATAATCGCTATCTTTACTGAATCTCCTGTTATTATGAGGTCATATCCCATTGCTCGGAGGTTAATGAAGTTCATCTTGAATATACCACAGAATGTATAGGAAGGTGGAAATGATGATACCATGATAGCAGCATATTGTTTTGTGGAGCTTGCTGTATCTGCTGAAGTGTGTACTGCTCTTTACTCCCGCTCTTGTAATACAAATTTAAAAAGGCTCCAAAGATAAGGAAATCACATTTTCCTCATAATTAGAAGGACTTACAACCAAGAAGAAGAGTTTGCCATCAAGGGGAGATGGTTGTTCGAGTTATCGGGTCTAAAAGAAGTCCTATCTTTGAAGTAGAGCAGTGATTAATGTGTTGCACCTGAAGTGTGACTCAGAGGAAAACAGAGCAATCCATCCGGCTGAATTCAATGCTTGGAAGAGGGGTACTATGGAAAGTATGACTGTTTATGCGAATGATCTGCACCATTTGTATGATAAGGCTTATCCTGCTATAGACATATCAGATTGTGAGAATATTCTCAT